TCATTGAATATTACTAATTTCCCCGAATCGATTGAACCTAGAGATTTGTGGAGAGGTAGTGAACGTTTGGGAACAATTTTTGACATTTTTCTTGCTAAGAAAAAGTCTAGGCATGGGAAAGAATTTGGTTCTCTTCGGTTTATTAATCTCTGTAATATCCAAAATTTAGTGAAGGATTTGCATGAAGTTTGTTTTGGATACTTTAGATTTTTGGCATAAATTCCCAGGTTTGAGAAGGGTAAGTCTACGAACAGATATCGACCTTTTCCTTCTAAATCTAATGAGTACATAGTACTGCCTAGGTCATATGCCCATGTTGTTTATAACGATAAGCAAAATGTTAGTATTGAAAACATTCCTGAAAAAAGTCACAACTTGCAAAAAGAGGTGATTAAAATCCAACCAGGTGATTTCATTGTTGAAGACCATCAGGAATCTTTGGCTTGTCTTGGTAGAGCTCGAGATTTCCTTACTCTTCCAAACCTATAATCACTTCGTTTGGATGAGGGATTTGAAGAAGTAGAGATCGAATATGTAGGCGAGTTATGGGTTTTTTTTTTCTTTTCTTTCCTTTTCTTTTTTTTTACATCTTTTGTAGTGTGTAAAGGTTTCATGCAAAATGAGTCTATGGACCATTGGTTGTTATTGAAAAGAAAATGGGATAAACACTTTTTCCCCAAGGATCGCCTTGTATGACTTGATATATAAGGCCTTTAGTTACTTGGGTGAAGTAACCAAGCTTTTAGGACGATTGTTTCTAGATGGGGAACTGTTGCTCATATGGAAGACAATCTTGGTTTAGGCTTGTACAAAAATAGAATTTACCTACTTGCTAAATGTTTGGATGTAATCTCGGAGGTGATTTTGGTAGAAGTTAAAGGCAAAGAGTATAAAGTGGGAGTAAAAGAGGCTGTAAAATGGAAACCATCTTTTGAAGTTGAAAACCCGATTGTTAGTGATAATGAGGAACCGATTGTTCAAGAACATTTTCAGGTAGAATCCGAAGGAAATTTGCGTTCTTTAAAAGTTGATGTTGAGGAGGAGGTCAAGATGAGCCACAGGAACCAACTCGAAGTTTTGTGATATATCTGGTATTTACAATACTATGACACACATGGATTATAAGAAAGAATGTAACTTTGGTCCTAAAAAAAGGGTTAGCTTCCGGTGGGTATTTTTCTCATACTAACCATCTAAATAGAGAGGAAAATGACACAAAGGATCAATCCGAATCGAAGCCTGTTGCTTCACATCCTAATATGGAAGTTATTTTGCAGCCTCTTAAAGTTGTTGTCACAAATCATTACATAACACCACCTGATGGTGGTGATATGTACAACATGCTCATGAGCAAATGGTTAACAGGGGGAGGTGTAGTCCATTTACCTCGGATTAGGTTTCACTTTCACACCCTCTAGGTTTTAACATTACTTTGTCCTGTGGGACTGAAGCTATGGAGGACGATATTTGGTTTTCTAAGAGTAATCAACATGCACATATGGTGTAACACCAGGATCCTAGGGTAATTCATATTTCCAATTTTATGTGTTTTAAGGTTACTATTGCATGGTGGATGCACTACGACATATAAAATCAAGGAAGCATCATCGTTTATTTAAACTGCCACTCCATGGCAGTATATGGCCATTGCGTGGTAATTGACAAATGACAAAACCTATTTACGAGTTTTGCTCTTTATTTATAGGAAACCCTAATTTGCTCCTCCATTTTTAAGCCTTGTTGTGGTATTATTTGAAGACATTGAAGGAAGAAAGAACAAGAAGTGAGCTAAGATACAGCAAGCAAGACCTCATCCTTTGTGGTAGCATTCATCTAGACCTTTATAAATGTCAAAGACTCCATTTTCATCATGATAGGTTTCTAAATCATGAGTTTTGTCCCTAAATCATCATGTTCTTGATTGTTAGAGTGTTGAGATCTCATAAAGTTTGCAACTTTCTGAATCTCCAATCCATTTAGGGTGTTTGGTGCTTTGGATCTGGATTGGTAGTGAGTTTTGGTATCATGCATGGATTTTTGGTTAAAAACCCTTGTTTTGACCTAATAAGAGCCCAATACATGTATGTACGGAAAGTAAGGGTTTTTATGTTCTTTTATGATGCGAAAAACATTTATGGAACTATTGAACTAGAAGCTTTCAAGATTAAGTGCTTAATGAATTAATCCAAGTTGTGTTTTTCCGTTTTTTGACCTAAGAGTGAAACCCTTACCTCTTGGAAAGTCTAAAGGGATAAAATTGGAAATGTTATTTACTTAGACCATAGTATGGACCTGATATGAGCTTTGGAGTCCTTATAATCAAAGAATACAACTTAATCTATTAAGTTGTTAAGAACCTAGTGCCTACGACATGGCCTAGGTCGGCACGGCATGACGACTAGGATAAGACTCGTCTATTTTGTCATCTAGTGGCGACGATGTAACCAAGACTGGCCACGATAACGTGACCGGCTGGAGGTTGACCTTTGACCATTGAATTTGACCAAGTTTGACTTTAGGCCATTTTGGGTATTTTGAATAGTAGATTGAGATTTGGGTCCCTGTTTATTAGGTGACCTATAGATACAGTACTTGTAGTAGTTATCGATTTAGTTATCTTTCATATTATGAGGTGACTTTTTTCCTCAATGTACTTATGGGTCGAAGGCACCAACGTCAGCCAACTAGATCATGTATCCTGAATGATGCTATGATAGATTGGTATATCTGTATGGTTACCTATATATGTTGATTATATGCTAGATTGGCAAATATTTATGATTACTTGTATGTGCTAGTTTTATGTTTATCTGTTATGCATGTCGGCATGGTGAGGGTTAATGGAAATCCAGTTGGGTGATCGTAGACCAAGGGAAATCCAGTCGGGAGACTGTGGGCGAGCTTAATCCAGTCGGAAGACTATGGACTCAACATGCAATATGTTTATCTATTTGTTTGTGTGTGTGGTACTTTTTGGAAACTCGCTAATCTTTGTCTTACAGTTTGATTTTTTAATGTCATGTACTTCAGGGGACAGGGGCAAGGCGAAGACCTGATTGTGCACATCATCCTATACTTTTATATGATTTATGGTTTTAGGGATACTCAGATATGTGGTTGCGACTTTTAGAATCATATTTTTGTAAAACTTATGAATTTGAATAGTTTTAAAAATTAAATTTTTTTTGTCATGATTTTAAGATGTTACAAGTTGGTATCAGATCCCTGGTTTCAGATAATTGGATAAGCATTCGTGTGAATCCAGACTCAAACTAAGGATCTATAAAAGTTTTCTAAATTGTTTTAAAAAAGTAACCAAGGGATGATGAGATGTGTACGATCATTCGGAGCAAGAAAGTGTACCCCACGATACCCACACTAGTATTTGCTTATGATAGAATTGGATGCTAGTTTGGAGACTAAGGATCCCCAAGAATCGCATGACAGGATTTCATGATGTGTAATGCCTGATAGCATAGTAGAATCTCTTGTATGCTAGTAGAAATTGACATAATTAATGTAAATGTTTATTGTGTTCATCATAGTTGTAAATAACTAATATTTTATAGTCTGAGAATGTTTGATGTTACTTTATTTCCCGTTCATCGTCTATTTGTGGGATTAGGGTAGAATCAAGTATTCAACTATCTATGGAATCTAGTGTATGTATTATTAGTATTCACAAATGGCTTCAGGGTTTGTGGAAGCTTCATGAGTGAGTGTGGTTGTAGCAGGCCAGCTTGAGAGATGATTAGCCACTCTCGAGAGAGTGGGATTAGGGTGTATGCATATCTCAGTCATTAGGTTTTGTATTTGGGTGGTCTGTGATGATACTTTGAGATAAATACAGGTAAGTGTGGAAGGTATTATGGGCCTACACTACTATAAGAACAAGAATCGTATGTGTAGAAAGGAATTCAAAAACCCTAAGGGTTTAATTTTATAAAATGGTGCTAATAGCATGAATTGTGGCGCTTTAGATAGATTTTCGTTCATTTTCAGTTTGGTGTACATGAGAGGTTCTAGATTAGGAGCTGGTGGCCTAGAAAAGTTCTAGATTAGGAGGTGGTGGCTATGCCTATTCAGGGTTCCATCATGAAGATATTTGGGTTTATCAAGATCGTGATGATTAAGCTGTTTTGTAACTCCCGCATATTCGGGCTAGCCAATTTAGAGACAATGAGCGTCAAAAATGAGTTTTTAATGGAAGATTATTTAGAAGGATTAATCTTAACCAAGTTTTAGAATATGTCTCAAGGGTTTCGTACATATAAAGAACGCCAAAATTCGAGTTATAACGAAGAAGTTATGGCCCGTCGAAGTTTTACGGCAGATCGGCACGGCACCGGGAGACGTAAATAGTGAATTTAAGATGGAGGACTTTTTAGCGTTAGAAATATAAACAAAAGTTATAGTATTAATTAAACCAAGAACATTCAAAAAAAGAATGCCCAAATCTGACTTTGTATGAGGAAGTTATGAATTTTCTAAGATTTTGCTTAGCAGTGCACACCCCGAAACTCAAATTTTAGATTGAGCGTTTTATGGCCAACGCAACCTAAATGAGAATTGAAGATCTCATTAATAGGAACTCAACGGTAAAAAGACAGGCAAAAACGGAGTTCGTATGTAGAAGTTATGAATTTTACGCGGACATTAAACAATATAATCTCATCGTACTGTTAATTTTAAGATCGGTCGAGAATTAGCCGACGGAGTCAAAATGAAAGTTGTAGATCTTATTTTTAGTTATGAGTGGATATAAAGAACGTCGAAAACGCAGCTCGTATGCAAAGGTTACGGGGTATAGAAGTCGACAGGGTGCTGCTGCAAAAGGGGTGACGTGACACAATCTTGTCCATTGTTTTCTCCTCAAGGCTTGCCACTAGATGGTGACATGTGGCACCAATTTCAGCCATATTTCACCCTATAAATAGAACCTCTCCCACCCTCATTTTCTGCACACCATTCCCATTCTTTCTTCTCTTTACTCTCTCTCTCTCTCTAGAACCTCTCTCTAGCCCCAAAACCACCCGAAAAGCCTAGGGAACCACCCTAGCAAAAGGCGGAAGCCCCGAAGTGCTCGACGAGTTTGAAAAGAAGAGCTTTTTGACTCGGGAACGCTGCTCCAAGCAAAGCCCATTTTTCTATAAAACCTGCTATAAGTGAGCCACGCCTATACTATTTTTAATATAGCTTTTATTTAATTATACTAACGTTATTAGGAACTTATAATAAGTACTTGGGCAATTATTATGGGTTATATAAGTATTGTTTAATGCTTATATAATAGTAATAATTGCTAGACTATTAATTAGTCTCGGAGAATAATAGACTAAACTCTAGTGGTAATAATAATAGGTTTCGTCGAAGTAAATAATTTTTAAGAAGCGAAGCGCTGTCTGAGTTTGGAATCACCACCTTTTCAAGTGAGTGCATGGTCCCTTTCATCTTACACATAGATATGAAGTATTTTATATAAACAACATGTTATGTGTGCATATTATCTGTATACTTGCTATCTATGTTCGATGAACGGTTTTATACAAGTTTTATATGATTTAAACTGTATATGAATGTATATCTACAAAATATGTTGGTTAAAACATGGGTAGATGAAATATGAGTTAGATGATTAGTTGAAGGATGATATAGACCATGAGTTAAGGGTGAGAGGTAGACGATGTAAGAAGTCTTGTTCCTAAATGCTGGCCCGGTCATCTAGCAGAGTATGGACGACAACCACGGACTATTCTAGACAGTCGAGTGGAACACTAGTAGGCTCGCAACTTGTAGGTGTTGTGAATGATGTGTTCACCACCGTACTCTAAAAACCCATTGACATGTGTTGCGAGTGGACTCTCGAAAACGATACTATCAATAAATGAGATAACCCTAGCAACTGTGCTCGAAAGATAATACTGGTAGCTGTGCCTCACATAGAATGTCACAATTCTGGCAGCTGCGCCTAAGTGATAGAACTAGCAGCTATGCTTGATAGCTGTGTCATTGACAACGACGGACTTCGTACCTGTTCCTTAGGATAATCCTTAGGAATGAATGAATGAGAAATAGTTGATTCT